CCCCGATTTTCACCTGCAACCCTATTCAGCATTATATAACGTTCATTATACCAAAGACTACATTCCCAGAGGTTTATGATGAGCGGGACTGTTCATGTGAGAGTTAGGTGTTGAGCATTGACACAATGGAGTAGAACTTATCGGATTTTTTACATTCTCAAAAACTTGCCCAAACTTATACTAAGAAAACAAGTAAGCGAGTATTCTCCTTTTTTTTTCCTCATTTCCCATTTTATTTTATTGTATTCACGCGATTACACGGTACGGGCCATAATGTCACAAAATCAAATTTTTTTGCTCCGTGCAGTTGGTGTGGGGTTTTTTCGGGCATATTAAAAGGCCATTGTCATTAATTGTTGTGATAAACCTTTTGTAGACGAGACTCAACAGTTATAGAGTTTTATGTAGGTAAAAAAAATAAGACCCAGCTTTTAATAGAAGTATCTGCTTCATTCAGAGTCCCCGGAAGGGTTTTCCCTTTTCGACCCATACTCTGGCACATATTGCTGGCACTACCGGAGTGATATATCGGCCTCACAGACACCGGATTAAGCAATTCTTCCTTTGCATCTCAAACCCAGTAAGAGAGGTAGCCACAGTCCCAAGACATAAATCGAATTGTTGTGTTGCGAAAGCCACTTCTCACTGTTGAGTTGTAGGGGTGCATGGGCGGCACAGACACCAGCCACCGGGTAACCCCTTCGTTCTTTAATTAATTTTCCATCCACAGCAATAGACATTAGCTTTGATAAGAAGAAGTATTTGGGTACGAAAACCTATATGCTCTAATACATTTAATTTTAAACTAGAGAAGGGTATACTAATGACCCCATAGCTCCTCGTCATTAACCATTTCAAAAGAGCGATCAACACAGTTCTTTTTAAAACCCTTTAGCATTCAATATTCAGGCATTCATAAAAAATATTATTTGCCATTCATATTTGTAACAAAAGAGTTTAAATTGTAAAGCCTATCGTAACATACGCAATAATTCACAGATCAAAAGTGCCACAGCTACGTAAATACGTACAATTTTTTTCCCAAATAAATCAAACAAACAACGATTGCCGAGAACAAACAATAGCGTGTTACAAAGTTAACAAGTTCATGGTATAAAGGGGTGCACCCCTCCCCATGAGACAACTACACGATCGATTATCTAGTTTCAAAGACTCTTTATCTTCATTTAATCTTTAAAGTCCAGTTTTATCTAAAATTTTTCTCTTATATTCTTGAAATTCTTGGAGTTATATGCTGGCTAGAGAGGCGACATCCCTGGCCAATATATAATTTCATGAATTTTACACGTAAAAAAGTCATTAGTTGGCTAAAGGCTCGTTAATAAAAGCTTCGCCTCGTGGGCTAGAAGCACGACCCCATTAAACCGAACGAGTTTCTTTTTCCTAGAGATGAACGCACATAACATTTAGTTTTTAACTTTTCTATACCAGGTGTCGAACAGTGAAGCGATAATAAACTCGAGAGCAATGAATCTGGGTGAAAACCTTAAGCAATCATGATACTAGTGAAAAAAATCGTGTTTAATGGATAAATTACATATTGTAATGTAAAGCTTGTATCGCTTATGAGAAGTTTTGAAGTCTCCACTGTTGGTCAGAAAGCTTTTAGTTGTCTCACGTATCGTCCAAGTTTGTCCCAAGCATGCTTGACCAGGTTGTGATATGCACTGCTGGCCTGTGGTTGATATTCACTTTAACGTAGTTATTTATAGTCTGACCCAGATTGATTGCTCTCGACTGTATTTCATAAAGCCGATAATACATGCGCTCATGTTTAAGATTAATACAGCGATTAATCAAAAATCAATTAATCTATCGACGCCGTATTTCAAACAAATTACTTTGAGTTCACCTTTGTAAAATTTCAACAACTTATAATTACGGAAGGGAGTGTTACGAAACAATTGTTTATGAGAAAGAGTAAGGTTACTCGATTAGACCCATTTCGTCAAATAACTTCGATGTACATACAAACTCTGTCGTTCTTACTCTATACCTATTTAAATTTAGTTATAGGTTTTAAAATTCATTTGTCCATACTTTTATTATAAATGTGAAAGTGACTTTGTTTGTTTGTTACGTTTTTACGCCTAAACCACTAAACCATTTAAAAAAAAATCTTTGACTAATGGCAAGCTACATTATCAGCGAGTAACGTAGGCTACTTTTTACCGCTAAAACCGATGTGAATGCGGGCGGAGCCCGAAAAACAAAAGCTAATAAATAATATAGGGGAAACCTTTTTTTAGGGTAAGAGTTCGTGAGTGAGTAACGCTTTTTAGGATAAGTCGGCCGTCGGGGTGGTTTTAAGTGGAAACACCACATACTCCTAGCTCCTACATCCCCAAGGAGTCGGAGATCCGAAGAGATTTTCCACCCTGTCAACAAAAAAAAAGGGCATACCCTTTTTTTGTTGACGGGAAGACTTATAGGAAAATATCGCCACTTGCGAGTTCCGAGTTATTTCAAGCATATAAATATACTTAAAACACGACCTATCTATATTGGCACGTTTCGCCAGTTATGTTCTGATTTCCAGTTACACGAATACGTGGTAAGCCTTAAAAAGATTGTACTTATTTATGTGTGTTAAACATAGACGCTATTGCTAGAGATTGAGAACATTCACCAAAATTGGCTGTTTATGACACATTGACTACAAATAAAGAGACATTTACAAATAAAGAGACACTTGACTGCACGAATAGCGTAGTGGTTTAAGCGGTCGCCACGCGCTTCCTACTACGCCGAGTGTTGTGGGTTCAAACCCCACGTGGGACGACACTTTGTGTGATCCACAAATTGTTGTTCTGAGTCTGGGTGTACTTTGTGTCCGTTTCATGTATGTTTGTAAAGTCCCCGCGACACAGGATTATTCCTAATGCGGGAGTTGTCTTTTATATAGAAAAAAAATTATTTATGGGATCGACCTTGTTCACTTAATTTTTTTTGTTAATGTTATAGGTATAGGGTCTGCACCCGTGTGGTGACGGATAAGAATACAGAATGTCATCACCCATTTCATCCCGTGGGTTCGTAAAGGGACAAAGGGAGCGAATACGCGGCACCACACTGAAAGAAGGAAAACTTGACACAAACCCTATCCCAACCCGTCGGGCCCACGTGTATGTAGGCCCCAAACCTCCTTTCTAAGGAGGGCCTATGTTCGCAGTGACTTTAAGGGGCTGTTGGGTGATGGGGGTCTCAACTCAGGAGTAAAATCAGAGAAAATATAACTATATGCATGATAAAGAGAGAAGAAAATTTTTTAGTTACCCAATTCTTTTTCACGACAATAAATAATGTTCTGATAGTATCAAAAACGTTTATTTTTTAGGATTTTTGCTACATAGTGCAATTATTGCAGATGTTGTTGAGTGGGGTTAATTTGTCAAACCAAACTTTACTAATAAAAAACACATATCAATTAAATCAAAACTATCGATCCTCTAGTAGGAGCGGTATTTTTTTTTTATATTTGGGGGGCCAACGCCCAAAAAGGGCTCCCCTGATGGAAAGTGCCTCGCCGCCCATAAAACGTTTCACTGGGGATCACAAACGCGTTGCCGGCCTTTTAGGAAGGAGTACGCTCTTATCTTGAAAATTTGAAGGTCGTATCGGTCCGGAAATACCGTAGACGATAACCCGTTCCACAGATTGGTTGGTATTTAAACATCTTCCAGCATACCTATATTACCGCCGTCAAACATGACTAGGACTTCAGATAATACACTTAAGTTAAAAAAATACATCACTTTTGCTCACATCAGACTAAAAAAAACTGTTGCAAAAGATTTACAACAGTATCGTCACTTAAGTTACTGGTTTTTCGGGCGAAAAGTTTGTTTTAACTTTGTATCAAGTTCTAAAATTCTTTTGCGTACTTCTTACTCAAAAACTAAGGAGAATAGGGAATATCGAACTTCAAACTACGGGCGCTTTATATAACCTGCAATACTACGCCGCCGAGGAATGACACGGATTTATCAATAGCATTAGTAATAATAATAATATTAAGTAATAGGTCATCCTAATAAATTCTAGAAAGAGACCAAAGAAACTCTTTGATAGTACTAAGAACCGTACCGAAATGGTGAAAAATAATTAATAGAAAGCACTGAGCGGTTTTCAAATTTAGAAGAGTTAGAAATAGGCTCCGGTCCGGGAAGTCCGTGTGGTGACGGATTAAGAAATACAAATTGGTCACCACCCCAATTCATCCCGTGGGTTGTCGTAAGAGCCGACTAGGGCGCAAAGAACAGCACTGCAAAGAGAAGGAAAACTTGAAACAAACCCTATACCAACCCGTCTGGCCAGCGTGGTATAGTAGGCCAAAACCCTCCTTTCTAAGGAGAGGCCTATGTCCAGCAGTGGACTAGTATAGGCTGTGATGATTGATGATGATGATGAGAAATAGGCTAACCATAAATCCCTATAGAAACAATAAAACTCTATATAACATTATATTTTTTTTTAAGAAGACTGATATTACCTTGTTTAAATGGTAATTTACACAAAGAATTGTTTGATAAAACAGCCTCACGGTTTCACAGTAAAAGGACAGAAGAAAAACTTTGTGAAGTTATTTGAGTACGCGGCAAATGTTGGGACACTTTTCCAAATGGCTTTTTAAAGAGGAACCTTTTGTATATATTTGTAGGTTTTGGTCGTAGCTTACTCATTCTTCGATAACTTGATACCAATTTTAAATTTTAAGGAATTGTAATAGGAATGGGGGATGATATACAGTTCGCTATGGTTGCGTTTTAATTTAAATTATGCTTAACTTCCATTTAACGAATGTACATTCAAAGTTGTAAGAAATGTCAAAAATTACGAACGCGTGTATAACTGACATAATTCAATTTCATACCAGACCACCCCCGTGGTTTCAGTGGTTACAGCCCATGCCTTCTTTTACAGCGTCGTGTGTTGTGTGTCTGGATGCCCAGCAATGTCGTGTTCATAAATTATCATCATTAAAAAGAATTATTTTCATCCCTTAACCTGACGTTTTCATAGCGTTGGATGTAGATCTTATGGAACTGCTCTTGGCGTGGCTGGGATGCGATATCAGCCTTCATCTCCATTGCCACGTGGCGCGGCAACACCGATAGCAGAAGGCGCTCCTAGGAGAATACCGACTCATTAATTATACTATATTAGGAATCAGTTTGACACGAAAGCCCTTGGTATTTTCTGTACGGTATCTGGTATATGGCAAAAATATGCAATATAGTTAAACCGCCGTAAGCTTGGCCCTCCTGATGGTTTGGGGGACGCGGGGCGGGGGTGCATTCAACTAATTAGCTAGTGCGTCGCTGTCCGCCGGCAGTGACTGACGTGAAAGCATGGCTGTACGTGTTATTTTTCTTAAGACTTGCTACACACGGTATTATTTTGCAACATGGATAATCTGCCGACTCTGCGTCACAAAAAGATTTAAAAACTTGAAGTTCGGCTTACAGAGGTTCTATTGTTAAAGTTCTAATAAAGAATATTTATTATTTTACTTGAATATTAAAATTGTATCTGAATATAATTTACATGATGAAGATAAGGTGATTTTATAAAAATTATTTTACAGTATTATATTTTACAATTAATCATAAAAACTTACAATACACTGACATTATAATACATGGAAATAAATTCGATTTTTATTACATCGTGTGTAGATTAAATCTCAAACAAATAAATCTGAAGATATCGAGTTAGTACATCGTGTCATGTATAGCCGAGCGCATCACCCGCCCCCGCGTCCCGCAAACCATCAGGTGGGCCAAGCTTACGGCGGTTTAACTATAGCACTTGGAGCGCATCCCACTAACCTGGTTTTATTTCATAAAAATACTTTCAAGAGAGTGCTACCCGTCGTTGATAAACAATTGATTTTTCGGCCAAAAAAATCGGCTGAACACAAATTATTTGTGTCAATAAAATGTTGCAAGTCCTCTGGCTTCATAATTCTGAGTGTTACTCATGTTTCCAGTAATAACAATCATGAAATCATCTCTTTGATGGGGATTCTCGAGAATAATACTCAGATTTCATTTCCAGTCGGTGTGAGCTCGCCTTTATTAAAATGTTTTGTTATTTTTATTTTTCTTACCGTGAAATTGGCTGAGATATTGAAGAATATAATTAGCGTTGACTTCTCATCCTTTGTTGTTTGCGGATAATATGTTCAAGGCTTTGATTAAATTTTCTTTTTCTTTGTTACCCATTTATTTCGTATCTGTTCGTCGGCATTTGTGTATTTTTTTATTTAAAAGGGAATTTGAAGAGTGCGGTACAATATGGGCTTACAGGAGATCGACATATTTTTTTTTTTTGATAATCAGAAATAGAATTTTATCAAGTGTTTAAGAAACTCTTAATTCGGGTGAAGTTTCAAAGATAATTTGTTCCATTATTTCCTATTTGGGGGGCCGGCACAATTTTGTGGGTAAAAATAATTCAGTTATTTTGATGTGACCGAGTGTCCCAGGAGTGGGATGAAACATATTTATTAGCAAAAACAGAATTATTACACGAACTTTTTGATTGTTCTTTGTGAACTTTGATTAGAGTTTTGAAGCAGAGCGTGATGTTTCGATTTAATACTCAAAAATCAAAAGGATAGTGTACTATTTTATTTTTTAGTACTGAACAACGAAATTTGACAATATCATCTAATGCATATTACCTCAATATGATTGAGGTAATATGCATTAGATGAGATTGCTTCGTCAAACTCCTCCTCTTAGGTTTGAGCAGTCAGTGTTTATAATACAAATTATGATGGTTTCAAGTTTCAAATGATGGGAGTCAGGCATACATACAATGCCTTTATTAAATGATAAATTATATTTATTTCTACAAGTAAATCTTTTCAGATATTTTTTACTCACTCTGGGGAAGAAACAGAAGAAGAAGAAATAAGACTTATAAGACTTTTTATTTTTGGCGAATTTCTTGCTCTTGGGTAAAGTATATTTATGATATGAGTACAGTGAGAAACAGTTAAAAATGAACCAGCAATCGTAATAGACTAGAAGACAAAACAACTTCCTGAAACAAGGGGTTAACAAGTTTTTTAGGCCCTCTTAAACAAAATGTCGCAAGAATCTCTGAAGGCAAGGTGGCTCCTTCGTTGACAGTAAAAAATGAAATTGCTTTTTAAATCTATTTTTGGTGGAAATTGCGCCCGGGCTTTATAATGTGCAAAACATCATGTTCACAATTTTATATATTGCCTCTGTGAGAGGTGTATCGTACGGAATATTGCAGGCAATATGGAGAAGGGTGCCACGCTTTTACTTGTTTTCAATATTTTCAAAGACGTAGTTTTAAGCAGCAACTTGCTTTCGAATACAACAACAAACAATAAAATATAAACAAAGTCTAACTACACTTCATTTTGTTGTTTTTTTTTTGCGGACGATGTCAATTGATTCTGTGAGTATATCATTGTCTGTGTGACAAGCTTCGTAGAATGGAATGAAAGCCTATGATAATAAGGAAAAAACATTTTTCACTTATCATTGATAAATAACGATCTATTTGAATGACGCAAATGTATAGAGGGTCTAAGGGACGGTGTAACGAATTCTGAAATAGTGTATTCAGACCATCACTCTGATGTCTAAAATCATTGGGAATTTTCGGCTGGAAAATGAAATGTTTAATGCAATAACTACAAAAATGCTACATTTGTGGAGTACAAATGTAGTTATTAACTTCTACTCTACGCACACTAACACAAGTTGGCGGCGTGGGGGGGGGGGGGTGGGGGAGAGTGTAATTGCAGTTCTTGACTGTATGCGGTATTAAGATTAAAAAAAATACTGTGAAATGTCCTGTTTACTCATTGTGATATCATTTTTAACTAAAAAAGTGAAAATATATAAATAGAATGATGCATTTACCTGCAAAAAAATCCAATCATTTTCAACACGAGAATAATGGTCTAAATACACTATATTTCAGGATTCTTTACACCGTTCCTTACACCCTGTATATCATAAAAAGTAAATAGTCGTTAGACAGCAACGGACAACAGAGTGAAAGGTGTTAGAAACTATATGAACGTTTTATTATTGATATAAGCGTTACGATTGAGACGAGTTATTGATGCATTTGTTGACGGTATTTTTGAAGATAGTTTTCTGATCAGTGCTTGAAGTTCTCTGGATGAGGTCATTATTGTAGCTGAAAACTTTATGACTTAGGGTAAATATTTAATTTACGAGTATTAAGTAACTAATGGTATAACTGACCTGTTGCTTGGTTCTCAGCGCTTGAGCTGACAAGGCGTGCTTCAATTCAAAAAACGCAATCGCGGGTCTCGAGGAAGGCTCGGCGCCTGGGCCAGCTCGCGCGGGTGGATGTGTCATGATGCCGATACGTTTGCAAGCGATCATGTTCCAATGGTGCACAGGATCTGTCAAACAATATGTTTGTTTACTATCCTCACTTGTGGCTTCAATAGTCAATGTTTCAAGCCAATTACATCATCATCATCAGCCCAAAATAATCCACTGCTGGACATAGGCATCTCCTTAGAAAGGAGGTTTTGTTAATCCAACGCTTGCCAGATGGGTTGGTATAGGGATTGTGTCAAGTTTTCCCTCTCTTTGCAGTGCTGTTGTCCTGTCGTAGTTTTGGTTTCTTAGTCGTCTCTTACGACACCCACGGGATGAGTAATGATTTTAACACTCCGGTATTCTTATATCCGCCACCCACATGGACAATTAAGTAAAGCATTATTATATATTTCTTAGATTTTTTATTCCATATCGTCTCAAGTGATCATCATGAAATTTTGCACAAGTTGCATGTAAAAAAATGTTTTTTTTTCACACAATTTAACACACCAAACTAGGCAGAAACCTGTACTATGGTACCAGACCGTGATAAAACATACTTATATATTTCTAATAACATACATACTATAGATAAAGTACGCCAAGACACAGAACAAATGACCGTGCTCATCACACAATTATGTGTCCTGGGTGGGAAACCGAACCAAACGACCTCTGGCGTAGCAGTCAAGGTCACTAACCACTAAGACCAACACGCCAGTCAAGAAAAAAAAACCCACGGGATGAATAGGGGTTTTGGACACTCCGTATCATATGTTTTTTTAGTGTCAGTAGATAAAATTCGTTTGAAATTAACTAAATAATGATTATATGAAATAGGTATATGGAGTATTATACTATGCATATATTTCTAGTGTTGCAAAATGTCAATAATGTCTTTGTAGTAACTCCGTTGTGCTAACCGTCATCAAACATCATCAACAGCCTATAATAGTCCACTGCTGGACATAGGCCTCTCCTTGGAAAGGAGGTTTTGGCCTACTATACTGCTGCTAACCTACTGGTGCTAACCGTATATGTGTACAAGAATAAGGAAAATGCAAAAGACACCAGTGAACGATATTAACTATCTTTCACTGGTGTCTTTCTCATTTTCTTATTTTTATTTTATTTACTAGTATTATAAGCATACATATAAAGTCTTTAAATAAACTTAACTAATAGTACTACCAACTTCATTTTCCACAGAAATTCTGTTTTTAGAAAGGTATCCTAAGTCCGTTTCTGTACCCTGACAACGGTGTATGCAATATTTATTTACAACTAGCTGACCCCGGCAAACGTGGTATTGCAAAACAAAAAAAAAATAGGGATGGGGTCACCCTTACCATTTTGGGGTATGAAAAATAGATGTTGGCCGATTCTCAGACCTACCCGATGTGCACACAAAATTTCATGGGAATCAGTCAAGCCGTTTCGGAGGAGTATGGGAACGAACATTGTGACACGAGAATTTTATATATAAGATTGGGTTGAGCAGTAAAATCAATAACGAACAAAAAACTAGGCGGACGCTGACTCACTTCCATGTCAGTGGTATCTTCCAGGATGATATGAGCTCCGATGTTGACAGCGGCCAGCACCAGTCCACCGATGGTAGCCTCATGTAAGCGCAGTGGCAGGGTTGCGTAAGTGGCATAAGAAGTGAACAGCGCGCACACCCCTGCGCTTAAGCTCACAGATCTGTACAAACAACGATTGTGATAAAAATGTTGTCAATTACGTTAATTAATTATTATAATCATTGATTCAGCCATAGGAGGTTCCTGCCATAGGTCAATGAATTCCAAGTATACCCTTTTAATGTTGAAATTTAAAACACTTGATGACTTTTGTTTCGATATTTTAACTTTATACTTTCAAATTTAAAGGTAATAAAAAGCCCTAAGAAAATATTGTATGTTCGATGACGGTAGAATGAACAGAAACCAACATCTTCTGGCTTTTAGCCGAGAAGATTACCTATGAACGAGCACTTTCCGGCACTCGTAAATGCTCATCCTCCACACTACGATAGACCCGTACCGTTGACGTTGACCGTTGAAAATGAAACAATAACATTTTTGGTGGCAACTTTGAATTAATATTGACACTAATTACATAATTGGTCCATGATACTAATTACATAATTGGGTCAAGCGGCGACAATTGCAATTTACTTTGATCTTCCGTAAACTTTATGCAAAACATCTATGGGCCAGCAAACTCGCTTGTAACGAATTCAACAAAGTTCCTGCTCGTAGTAACATTTGAAAATATGTTGTAAATAAATGAACCCTTACACTGCGGTTTTGTTTGAGTCGTGTTACGGTTCAAGCGGAAACTTTTAATTTTATACCCTCAAGTTGTGTGTAGGTGAGGGCCTACCTTTTGCTTTTGAGACGATGTGTTTGTCACGAACTTACAAGAATGCCAGAATTTGAATACAATTCAACAGGTTTTAAACATTTTGTTTGACATTGTCCAGTATAACTTTAAACAATAATTAAATAGACTTTAAGTATTGTAACAGATCAACATGTATACTTTATTTTCTTTACTTTGCTTATATTTCATATTTGTAATTGCATGAAATTTGCTTCAAAGTCACTTTAAAGTTTAAAGAAATATATTTACATATTGATATATAGGTTAATACTAAACTGATGACAAAAAAATCAATGGACTACACCACACACAAACATCGACGAGGTTAACGAATTCTAGAAGAAATTTGATTGTTATTTAAACTTAGTTACTCTTAATTTGACTGCAGTTTTACAAAATTTAAGTCAAAGTGGATAAATGATATTACTAACCGCAATACGGCGGTGCTGGCCAATGCAAGCTCTATTAGAAGGAAGGTGACGAACACAATATATGAGATGGTAAAGCAGATAAATTTCGTTCATAGCCGGGGCGGGACAGGCATGCCAGAAGACCTGCAACAAACAAAATCATCTACATAAGTAAGTTATTGAATTACAATTATCCACGTGGTGACGGATTAAGAATACAGAGTGTCACCACCCCTATTCATCCCGTAGGGTCGTAAGAAGCCGACTAAGGGTAAAAAAACTACGCAAAACAACAGCACTGAAGAAGAACTGAGAGAAGGAAAACTTGACACAAACCCTATACCAACCCTTCCTAAGGAGAGGCTAATGTCCAGCAGTGGACTGTTAAGGGCTGTTGATGTGATGTGATTGAAATTACAAATTATTGAATTACAATCCCTAAGAGTGGAAAATGGAGAAACTAAAAATTTCGTTTATTATATTTTTCCATGATGTCAGCTCAGAGATCGAGGTGGAGGCGCTGTTAGCTGAAATACAGGTTTCTAGCCTAGTTCAGCACAGATGCTAATACCGAATTGTCACAACACAAATTGTCTTCAAGTAAAGAATTATTTTAGCAACCACAAACTATGTGTAAATGTGAATAAGTTTTTAAAGTGAAATAAAATATTCATTCATTCAATCAATTGAAGTGGATTAAATATTTTTAAAAATACATATATTACCTCCAATAAAGTCAAAGCAATGAATTACTATGTAGGTAAACTGTGAGCTAACATTTAGAGCTTTCCTAGTGATAATAACTTATTTCTGAGCTTGGTTACTCGTGTTATACTCGTACTAGCATAACACAGGTCAGGTGGAGTGACGATTTGCGCAAGATGGCTGGCAGGAGCTGGATGCGAGAAGCTCAAAATCGATCTAAGTGGCGTGCAATGGGAGAGGCCTATGTCCAGCAGTAGACTGCGATAGGCTGATGATGATGACTAGCATGTCAGTTGATAATCGAACTGAACACCGAGCAGTCGAGATTCTCCGATTAAATCGCCAAAGCGCATCCAGCCCTTCTGGGTAATTTTTTAGGGTAATTTATAATGTAAAGGGCAAAGCGAGCGGCCGGGTCACGTGATAGAAAGTGACCACCACCACGGATGTACATCTGGAACTCAGGGGTCATAAATTTGTTGCCTGCCTTTGAGGTAAGTTTGAGGTCGTATCGGTCTAAAAAACACGCAGGGGACAATGTGCTCAAAAGGTTTTGATATGAAAGCACAAGATATATTCGTCTTAATTTCAAATTGTCGTGTTGTACTTACAGCCGTAGACCAGAGCAGTAATACCGAGGATAACGCCGTTGATGATCTGTGCTATCCGCCCCTTCTCTCGGTATTCATCACGACGTAACATAGACGTGTTCAGGTCATCCAGGTCATTGGAGACGAATGCGTCTTGTTCACGTAGTCCATAAATTGGTTCGCTGGTGCTGTTACTGAGTAACACAGAGGAAAACAATTATTATTATGAGAGAGATAAATAATTAAAATAACTTTACATATTTGGTCCCAAACTAGACAAAGCTTGTGCTGTGGTAACCAGACTGTTGATTTACATACTTGTAAATAGGTATCTAAATACATATATGTCATTGATAAATGCCATCCAAATACAGTACTAATGATCGTGCTCAACACATAATTATTTGTCCTAGGTGGGAATCGAACCCGGTTCATCAGGAGGAGGACCAACAGGCCAGCCACTAAGGCACTCTACGTGATCTCAATAGTGAAATTAATAAACGCACAATGTAAGAATCTAAGCGTATACTGAAATGAAGCTTAGTTTCGCTGGAAGTGTACGACGTGTTATTGTATACTGTATGAGGTTAGGATTAGTTCGGTTTTACCGTGAAGAGCCACGAATGGGCCATCCTCGACAGGAAGTGATACCACGGACTCACAGAGAGCCGGTGTTAAGCATTTCTGTAAAGGCCTAAATCTCCCCTTCCGCTGACACCAGCGATGAGGGACTCCAAGGGGCAGCACGCACTTGTGACTTTTGAGTTGCAGGTGTCCATGGGCGGCGCTAGTTGCTTACCATCAGATAACCCGTCTGCTCGTTGCCCTTATACCATAAAAAAAAATTTAGAATTTCCATATTTTAACAGACAACCAAAAGGAGAGATATTCCCAATTTGGTTGTATTTTGTGTTTATTTGTCATTTATGAACCCACTTAGATTTGTTTTTATTGGGGAGGGTATACTTTCTTATTGGTCTCATTCTAATTTGAACAAAAATACCAGCTCTGAGGGTGGAAACTTTAGGGATGGAGAATACAGCTTATTACAATCCATCATGATGTAGTCGCAATGAATTCAGTAATACGTTCTTTGAAAGTTCCATATTCAGATTAATATCAAATAATCGCTATTTTTTTTTTTAAAACAAACTCTCCGCGTTAGATATATATTCTGTGTCGCGGGGGGACTTTACAAACATACATGAAACGGACACAAAGAACACCCAGAGCTTATAGGGAACCCCGCTCTCTTCGTATGTTTAGTTTTCATTTTTTAAAAGACAACTCCCGAACTAGGAATATATTTTGTAATCACCCAAACTCAGGACGATAATTTGTGGATCATACAAAGTGTCGTCCCATGTAGGGTTTGAACCCACAACACTCGGTGTAGTAGGAAGCAGCGTGGCGACCGCTTAAACCACTACGCTACGCAATAAACTTTACAGCAATTTTTATATATAGGTGTAAGATAATAATGTTCAAAATACCTTATGCGTGGGTCATAATCAGTGAGTGAAACATTATCAGGCGAGAAAAAAGTTGTTGAAGAAAATGTGGTGAATAAATCATCGTCCGGAGCTGTATGAACATGAGGGCCCACGGACACCCCCAGCAGCAGTCCCAGCAGGTGTGTCATATTAGTCTGGTTCATGCGCAGAAAGTAGCGCTGGTACAGCATTTCCACCTAGGGAGAAAAAACAAACATTTTATGTTAGGCATTCTAAATAACCCGTGTGGTGACGGATTAAAGAATATACAAATTGTCACCACCCCAATTCATCCCGTGGGTGTCGTAAGAGCCGAGTAAGGGACCAAACTAAGCAGGACAGCACTGCAAAGAGAAGGAAAAGTTGAAACAAACCCTAAACCAACCCGTCTGGCCAGCGTGGTATAGTAGGCCAAAACCTCCTTTCTAAGAAGAGGCCTATGTCCAGCAGTGGACTAGTATAGGCTGTTGATGATTCTAAATAATTCATAATAATAACCTCGCACATCTCCCCGTGATTCCCAACTAGGCAGAGCCTGTACTACAGACTGCTGATAAACATACTTATGTCTATTTCTAAATACATACATATTATAGATAAATTACACCTAGATTTTTTTTGCCTCTTCCATAAAAAAACTCCTAGATACGGAACAGATTATCGTGTTTATTCCACAATTATTTGTCTTGGGGGGGGCATGGAGCCCACGACTTGGAACTTACGAATTAGTACAACTGCTAGTCTGTTAAGTACTGCACTTACTATATCTGTAGCACTTGACCAACAGGCTCGTCAAATTATAATGAATTAATACAATACTACCTGTACCATACCGCGCTTCGCTGTGGCACATAGTGTTTGCAAAAAACTAGATAATAACCATCTCTGGGTGTATATTGTCTTAAAATTTGAGCTCCATCGGTGCAGAACTTTTTAAGTTTTTAACGCACACCAAACCAACACAAAAAACAAACACGTTGGTTACACAAAAGCAACTTAATTTGTTTATACAAATTCTTATCGTAGTTGAGAATTATTTTGTTAGTTAAAAGTGTCTTTCTGTCTGTCTTGTAAGTTGTAAAAAGTACATGTATTTTTACATTTCTTGTTTATATATGAGGCTTATATAGTGTTATAAGAGAGATATCAAAATATTTGTTCAAGTTGTATTGCAACAGCAGTAATGTTGGCGCAACGTGCCGAACAAGCGTTGAGCGAGGAACATTTCATTACCGCCCTGTTTATTTATAATTACCGTTGGCTTTAACGTAAAATGAGTTTTGAAATTGTTTTCCGACTTCATTATATGAAAGGCAGAGGAGTGTCATTCTTCAGCAATCAAACAAAAAGGGTGAGAAAATCTACATAACTTGCCGCGTTTTCATAACTTGTCACGACTACATTTTCCCATTAACGTACGGTTTGAGCAGTAATTTTTAATTCTTTTACAGAACCTCACGCGGATTTTCTGTCAAAATAACAATAATATTAACTTCATACATCTAATCTAAATACGGCAGTCTGATCTCAAAACTGGGCAGAGCCTGTGCCATGGTAACCAGACTACTGAAAAGCGTATTTGAAAATAGTTAGCGTACTCCTTCCTCAAAGGCTGGCAAAGCTCTTGTGACTCCTGAGTTTCCGGCGTTCATGGGCGACGGTAGTCGCTTTCCAACAGCTGACCCGTCTGCTCGTTTGCTCCATAAAGAAGTTAAACCAACACGCGTCTATTTAAAAATTGACTTAAATTGAAAATTGGTAATTTCATAATAACTCCTAGAAAAAGTCTAAATCTTAATAAACCCTGTAGTGTAACGTACCACTGACGAGGCCGTAAGTGCTTGCTAAAGTACAATGAGGCTCGAGGTCCCTAAGCGGCGGTGTAATCTTGACCGTACGAGCGCTATGCGACCGTCATATCATTGATACATTTCAAGGGCAGAAAATTAGATAAAGTACAAGATTCTGGCTTATTGAAAACGGTACAGATTTTATATGGAATATACAATTGACTTAGATCTGTAGTTGGCATAAACTTAAATTAAGAAAATTAATATGTGTGTATTTTTCCCATTTTTGAAGCAGCTAACGAGGGTCTGTCAAAGTTGGGAAAATCTATTATGCATAATTTAATAAATGATGGCTAAATTACGATTTTAGGCCCGCACTAGTAAAATACAAATCAAAATTAAATTAACCATCTATTGTTAGAATTATGAGAGCGTCTACATTTTGTAAAAATTTGGTTGAACACTAATAATAAAACGTTTCCGAATCTCAAGTTAAAATTAACATAACTTCGAACATCCAAACGAGAAACAAAAATATTTGCTGTTGTTTACTGCGCGGGAAAAAAACAAAATATTAATAATAAAGTAAATAAAGTGAACATAAAGGAGACAAAGAATAACGAATTAAATGGAGCGATAGAAATAATACAGAAATGTTGAACTAAGTTCTTTAGGTTGTTCAGAAGATACAATTCAACATTATTTCAACGTTAGCTAAATTGTAATAGTAAAATAACAGTATTCGTTTGCTCGAAAATCTAAATACAAAGAGTGGAAGATATTTTCAAAGCTGTAATGTACGTGGTACGTGTAAATTTACTACGTTTGTTCTGGTCATGACCGTTCAAGTTATCAATTATTAAATCGAGATTTAAAAATGCAAGTAATAAGAACCACATTTGGATTAAAGTTTAATGAAGTTCGATGTTGATAATAATCATTATCTTTATCAACGGGCTTTAGTTATCCACTACTGAACATAGGCCCCTCCTTAGAATAAATGTTTTGGGCCTACTATACCACGCTGGCCAGACGGGTTGGTATAGGATTTGTTTTAAGTTTCCTTTTTTTGCATTCTTGTTCTTCTGCATAGTTTGCTGCCTTAGTCGGGATACCGGATGCCTTAATCCGGACAATTGAAAACACTTATCAATATAAAACATTTTGCCGCATGTTTACATTTTTTTGTGCCGGATTTTGCGTCTAATGGCTCATTACGACCTTTTTTTCTCAAAAAAAGTTCTTAGCTAATATATACTGGTGATTAGAAATAATGGTCATAGTCGCCATCTTCTAATCTCAGGATTAATTCGACTGTTAATAGTTGCGTGAAATTGTGGAATTGTTAGATGGTGATAATAAGAGGGTTCCAATATTCATAGTGTATCAATATTTATCTCTGTCTAGACTCCACTTAATTTGCAGCTTGTTTAACAATATTATCTCTCTGTCTCTCCTCTCTCTCTCTGGTTTTCTAAACGTTACAGTGAAAACTCTAATTCTGACTCGCTCTGAAAACCGGTTTGAAGAAATTATTTTATTGCTTTTCACCAAAATGAGTGAAGTATCAAGAGGAATTTTAGAGGACAGGGCACTCAAAGACTTGCATTGAAGTTGTGACTTTTTAAGTGCAGGTTTCCGGGGGTGGCAAAACTTACAAGACCTATCATCAGGTGAAATATCTACTTGATTCCCTCCTTCACATAAAAAAATACTTTTGATTCTTTTAAAGCAAATCTGTCCTTCGCGTTAACATAGATAGAAAATATGTTTCTGCGTAATAAAGTCCCACACAACTTCACCTTCTAGATCACACAAGTATGTTATTCGAGATAACGTCCAAACGATGTGGTAGCCGCTCGTAGCCCCGACCCTATTACCCCCGAGGGCGGTAGAGGCCAACCCCATTCTGCACAATCAACACCTATAGGTGTGCAGACAATGGACATGTCTGACCATTACAAACAATGTTGCCTCTATCTAGGTTACACGAGGGTTACCTCAACGAAAGAGAAAATATTTTTATCACAATTGGCACCACTCAACTGGGCCGTGAACATTCAATACATCGTCATCTTTCTTCATTAACAAAGTTAACTAAAGCATTGAATAATAATTGACGCGCTCCTAGAAAACCTTTTTTTTGGTCCAACCAGTGAACCTTTCTTAAGGGTCAAAGTACACTGTGTTAACACGAAAAAGTTCACCTTACTTAAATCGTAATTAAACGCAAATTTGATGTTTAATTTTAATAAATTTTAACATTACGCCCAAGATTTCTTTTTTGTTTTATTCTGTCGTCCGTCGGCGGACTTGTGTAAAAAGTCGAGTATTTTATTTAGCACTTAAGAGGTGAACACTCAGGTTCTGAGTGAAAAGACGCATTAGCTGACAAGTTAGGTATTTATTGCATTAGTTGTAGCGTAAAATTAATCTTAAAGGATAAACTAGAAACGTAATACTCCGTATGTCAGTATTTTTAACGAAAATGCGTATTTATTTTATTTAATATAAGCTATACCCTGCCCCGCTTGGATGTGGCATATTGTGGTAGCTTTGATGTGAAATGAGGAACACAGCTGATAACAAAAATAGATAAAACCATATTTGAAGCAGGTTGTATGTCATATCGTGTCAAAATTTGAGCTTAATTTCAAACCAACTTAATATTTTTATCTACAGATTTAAGACTTTTTTGATAATGCTATTTAAATATTTGACTGCACTGATGGCGTAAGTGGTTAAAGCGTTTCGCCACGCCGCTTCCTACTACGCCGAGTGCTGTGGGTTCAAATCCCCACATGGAACGACACTTTGTGTGATCCACAAATTGTTGCTCTGAGGGTGTTCTTTGTGTCCGTTTCATGTACTCGTATGTTTGTAAAGTCCCCCTGCGACACAGGATATATTCCTAATGCGGGAGTTATTCTTAAAAAGAAATATATATTTTGGAAATCTCGATTTCAGACATTATGGGCGTTCGATATCATGACACAATGACGTGTTTCATCTTGTCTCATACCTATTTTTATCACAATAGAAATTTAACCAAAATTTTTTCAAGTCTCTCAAACCTCGCTGTATAGTCCAGGTATAAAAAATACTTTAAGGTACCATTAAGGTTATTAAATTTATACAGTACTGAACCCTAAAATAGCGGGTAGCTTTAGAGTAAATTTTGGTAAATTTTACAAACTTGGTTTCATACGCATGTAAAAATAACTTTTCTGTTTGTCCTAGACTGTGATGGTTAGGCTGCTCATAAGAACGAAAACTAGGAAATTTTTGACACAGAACTAAACGAGGTGATAATTTAAGCATTTACTGTTTATGAACTTAAAAATGTACAGATAAATCGGTCAGGTATCGGAGAGGGAGTGAGGGATCGATGCGTCATTAAAAGTTGG